ACTAACTCAGAACATTAACTATATACACGATGTTGGGTGAGTGACAATGAGATATATCAGCTTACCCAATAATCACCTATACCAATTAGCATCCTTAAAGAGTGGAGAGGAAGTGTCCGAGAACTGCGGATGGACTTCTATGGGCGAAGTTTCTAGCTTGCACCTAAAGAGTCCAATCACTTGAAGTATGTTGAGAGCATACTTCTACTGGGTCATGGTGAGCTTCCCATCCTAGTACGCAAACTTGATCTCAAAAAAATATCTTGGAGTCTCTAAGTCACGAATATTAAGATGCTGTTGCAAATAAGTTTTGGTAGAATGCCGGCCTCATCACTCTCGTCATCAATGTAAATTGTAAGAATAACTAGGCTGCCCTCAGTCTTCTTTGTGAGTACAGTGAGATATGTAGTACATGATGAGAAGTCAAATTTAGTGAGAAGACCACTAAACTTGACAAACCAAATGCATGAACTTTACTTGAGCCCATAGATTGTCTTTTACAAGAAATACACATTAAATGACTCTTCTTGAGCGACATATCTTAGAGGTTGCTCCATAAAGACCTACTCCTTAGGATCACTATAAAGAAAGGCATTATAAACATCCAACTGGTGAAGAGATCATGCTTGATTTACGGTGAGAGAGAGGAATACTTAGATGGAAGCGAGTTAGATGATAGGAGAGAACGTCTCAATATAGTAGATACTATATACTTGGGTGAAGCCATGAGCAACTAGATGAGCCTTGTGACGTGCAATGGTGCCATCTAGATGATATTTGAGCGTGAACACCCATTTACATGTGACAATGTTGGCATCTGTCAGATGGGGAATTAGTGTCCAAGTTTCTTAAGATATCAAGATGTCCACTTTTGAGTCCATGGCTGCCTTCCACTTAGGTACCTATGCAACTCAACATGCAAGTAAGGAATCAACTCAGAGGTTATGGAAAAGGTAAAGCTATGAAAGAAGGGAGAAAGGTGATCATCTTGAGGAGCACTGGGGACGTCAATAGAAGGCACAACCAGCTTAGTGGAGGAGGGGGACAACAGATCTGCAACCGAAGAGGAGGCCGGTGGAGACGGGGAGCCAAGAGGAGGAGGTGATGATGGAGAGGATAGATGGGAGAGAGTTGAAGGAGATAGATCTGCAAGGATCACCAAGGGGGAAAGCTAGGTGGAGGAGAGGTGGTAGCTTGAGAAGGAGGAAAGGTAAAGGAAAAGAAAGGAGACTCCTCATGGAAGGTGATGTCAGCCGAAGTAACGTAGCGACATGTGTTAGGAAAGTAAACTCAATAGCTCTTCTGTATTCAAGAGTAGCTAACAAAGACTCTTTTGAAAGCACGAGAGATGAGTTTGGATAGGGAAGGAGAGTAATCATGGACAAAGATAGTGCATCCAAAGATCTAAAGAGAAAGAAAAATCAGGGTGAGATAGGTAGGAAGTGTTGAAAGGGAATGGCCTTGCCTAGAGGAGTATAGGGAAGCTGATTCTAAAGGTAAGTGGCTGTCATGAAGGCATCGGTCCACAAGTAATGTAGGACATTTATCTTAAGAAGTAGGGTGCGAGTGATGTCAAGGAGCTGAGGATGTTTGCACTTAGCAACATTATTCTATTGTGAGGTATAAGGGCAGGTGGTCTAGTTGATAATGCCACGATAGGTGTACAAGGTTCGGAGAGAGGTTTGGGCAAATTTGAGGACATTGTCGATGTAAATTTTTTTGGGCGTAGTAGAATATTGAGTGACAACCTCTGTAATAAAATGGGTAACTGTAGTGATGACCTTGAAGTAGTCGCATAGGATGTATACCCAACTTATACAGGTGTAGTCTTCAATAAGAATGATATAATATCAGTGGTCTGAGAGGGAAGGAGTACAAAAGTACCTCAAAGATCACAATAGATGAGATAAAAAAGGGCAGAAGAATGAATACCATTTCAACTAAGATAGAAAGAATGGTGATGTTTACTCAATTGACATGACTCGCACACAAACTTCTTAAGAGAAAACCAAGATAAGATTTTTTGAAGTTTCTCAAAATAGGATGGCCTAATTGTCGATGCCATAAAAGGGAAGAAATAGCAGTAGAGGCAACAAAAAGTACTTGAAGGCCAAAAGAGGGTTCAACAAAAATGAGCTCATAGACACCTCACCTATTCTCACGGCCCAAACCAATTCTCCACCTAGTCTACAGATCCTTAAAAGTACAATAAAAAGGAAAAAAGATAACAATACAGCTAAGGGCACAAGTAATAACATTAATCGAGAGAAGGTTTGCAAAAAAGTCAAAAACATGGAGGACCTACTAAAGGAGAAGGTTAGGAGTGACGAGGGTAGTGCCACAGCCTTTTATTGGACAAGTTCAACTATTGGCAATGATGATGGGAGGATGAGAAGGGGTAGGTTGATATGAAGATAAAAGGGATGAAGTGCTAGTCATATGAGTGGAGGCCCCTGAGTCGATAATCCACGACGATGAAGAGGAAGTAGAAAAGTGAGGTAAGGCTAGCAAAAGAGGAGGCACTACTAGGACTATAGAGATTGATGTAGCGGCAAAACAGGGTTGTAGTCTATAGATGTTAGTTTGACGTTGAAAGTCCGAGCAGGGATGTTTGAAGGAGCAGATGAGCCAAAGGAGCCATTGTTGGTTCGACAGAAGCAAGTTTGCTGAATTACGTCTAGCATTTGTTGACTTGGTGGTTCTACTTGTCGCAATAGGGACATGGGAGGAAGGAGTTGTGGCTCTTCCTATGAGGAGGACTATTAAAGTTAGATTTTTGTGTTTTAATTAATTTAATTATTTTATTATATTTTGTTAGCTTGTAGAATAAAGTTAGGATATATTGTTACTTTTAGAAGTCTGAAGTTTAAATACATAGCATAATATTTGATTATTTATTTTTTTAAAAAATATAAAATATAAAAATATTTCACCCATTGGCAAGCTTGCACTTGCGAGCTGACTCAGAAGGGTGTTGCAGTCGAGTGGGTAGACCTAGACTAAGGGAGCTATGATAATTATAAATTAGTACTTGCATCTATACATTAATATCTTATATATAGATGTTAATTAATGAGTAGGTAATACAATTATACATATGTTACCAACTCATTATGACATTCATAATATTTTATTATTTAAGTTATTATTTTATTTGTTTTATTTATACTATGAGACTAACCCTACTTGACTTTTATAAAGTCAAGTGGTGATTTTTTCACATTTTGTTGATAATTATCTGATTGCAAAGACTTAGGTGAGCTTTTATTATGAGGTGAAAGTAATAAAAGAAGTCTAAACCTTTTGCCCAATGAAAAGTCTAAGTCTTATGGAGAGAACTGACCTAATATGTTTATAGGTCCAAGAGAGGGCGTCACCTTAGCCTAGCCCATTTAGACCTAAAGGGTTATCAAGAGATGAGATCTAGGCCGTCAATCTTAGAGTGCCTTAAGATTAGATTAAGGAAGGATTAGAGCACCGTCTTCATAGAAGAATTTGGGCCATCCATCAAGAGAATCAATTATTAATCATAATCATCTATTGGAGGGGCCTAATTATCGAGAGGATTAAGGTATCTCGCCCCCCTCTTAGAGGAGCTTTTTGGCTCTCTCTCTAGTAGTGGCTAGCTGAAGAAAATAGGAGAGAAATCAAGGCCTAGTCATTAGCATTCTCGTGCCCAAGATCAGTATAGAGAAGAGATTACTTGGAGATCACATCACAGATCAAGCATCACTTAGCCAATGACTGGCACACAACGAGATTTGTGCAAGATTCAAATTTGGGACGTCCTTATAATCCTCTCCATGGATATATTAATTTTTAATTCGAACTAGTTTTATCATTTATTCTATCATTCCATTACGTTAGATCCATTCTCTCTCTTTTGCCATGCTTTTCATATCTCTTGTCTTTATCCCTACATTTAATTCCGTCCTTCACAATCTCAAGTATATATATATAAGAGATAAAATAAGTAGAATTTTGACTCTCATTACTCATGCTCCTTAAGGATCGACCCTTACTTATCCTAAATAGAAGAGTGAGGTTTTATAAATATTATTTGCATGAACTTAGTTACATCACTATGATATGTTTAACCTTTAAATCCAATTCATCAAGCTATGAGCTAGGCTCGAGTGGTGACGGACTCGCTCTGCACACGTGTGTATCACTCCCCTGCCATGTCCCGGTGGCCAATTAGTCTTGGAGCAAAGAGCGTCATACTCACATGTGTGTGTGAGGGCAAACCACCTTTTTGCCTTCTCCCAAGGTGGTCTTGGGCATTATTTTATTTTGGAAGAAAGGATTTGTGATGAGAGATGGTAGCTTTGATTTATATTCAACTCATATGCCGAAATATCCGATGTGGGACTAAACCTTTTTGTGTGTCTCAAGACAACCATCTACAACGCAGTGTGATCTAGTGGTATTCAGTGAGCCATGTCATCAAATAAGCTAGATCTTATGGTGGGTGAGCCACCACGATACCAGATGCATAAAGTGATCCATCGGTGGTTCGCGAATTTGATGCTACTTAGTACGCACATGGCCTTAAAGGATAATCCGATGGCTAGGAAGTTGTCATAGTACCAAGGACTTAAGTTCTCGATCGGCAGCAGTTCGTGGCAGGTTGATCTTGTGTCGCCTAGCACACCACATGGCCTTGAAGGATGATCCAATGGCTAAGGAGTCGTCATAGTACTAGGGACTTAAGTTCTCAATCGACAACAGTTCGTGGCAAGTTGATCTTGCATTGCCTAACACACCACATGATCCAGCGGCTCCTAAAGTGCCATGATATCAAGAAGACCACGTTCCCTTAGACGAAAAAAAAACAAATACCTAGACCTGTTGTACCCGCAAAGTAGGATCAAGAGAAGAAAGACTCGTCTATCCGCCAGGAGCTCTTGCACGTATCACCATTAGAGATTGACGTGACTTTGTCGTTGCTGATAATAGTTGTATCTATGCATTAATATCTTATATATAGATGTTAATTAATGAGTAATACTATTATACATACGTTACCAACTTATTATGATATTTATAATGTTTTATTATTTAAGTCCTAATACATATTATTTTAGTTGTTTTATTTATATTATGAGACTAACTCTATTTGACTTTTATGAAGTCAAGTGGTGATTCTCTTACATTTTTTTGATAATTATTTGATTGCAAAGACTTAGGTGAGTTCTTAATATGAGTTGGAAGTAATGGAAGAAACCCAAGTCTTTAGTCTAATGAAAAACCCAAGTCTTATAGAGAGAGCCGCCCCAATATGTAACCAAACCTTTAGTCTAATGAAAAACTCAAGTCTTATAGAGAGGGCCGCCCTAATATGTCTATGGGCCCAAGAGAGGGCATCATTTGGCCTAACCCATTTGGACTTAAAAGGGCTATCAAGAGATAAGATCTAGGCCGTCCATCTTAGGGCACCTTAAGATGAGATTAAGAGAAGAATTATAGTGCCGCCCTCATAGAATGATCTGGGCCGTCCACCAAGAGAGTTGGTTATTAATCTTAACCATCCATTGGAGGGGCCTAACTCTTGAGAGGATTAAGGCATCTCGGCCCTCTCTTGGAGGACGTTTTTTGGCTCTCTATCTAATAGTGGCTAGCTAAAGGAAATAAGAGGGAAATCAAGGCCTGATCAATAGTATTCTCGTGCCCAAGATCATCATGGAGAAGGAATTATCTAGAGTGCATCAAGATCGTCACGAATTGAGCATTATTCGGCCTAGGACTAGCACACAAAAAGGTTTGTGTAAGATCCAGATTTGGGACATCCTTGTAATCCACTCTATGGATAGATTAATTTTTAATTTGAACTAATTTTACCATTTATTTTATCATTTTATTGCGTTAGATACATTCTCTCTCTTTTGTCACACTTTTTATAACTCATGTCTTTACCTTTTTACATTTAATTTTGTCCTTCACAATCTCACGTATATATATATCCATATAAGAAATAAAATAAGTAAAATTCATACTCTCATTATCTATGCTGTTTGAGAATAGACTTACTTATCCTAAATAGAATAGTGAGATTTTATAAATATTATTTACATGAACTTGATTGCATCACGATGATGTATTTAACCTCTAATTCATGTTCATCAGTTGTATAGTAAATCAAGTAAATTTAAAATTTATAAAACTAGAAAATACTAATTTTTAGATATTTGGAAGTATTTCTAAATAAATATATCAATTATAATTCAATAAAAGTTTCAAAAATAGTAGAAAATTTTCAGGTCAATCACATGAATGTAATATAATATCGGATAATATTTCAGAATTTTCTTCAAAGAATAATTTTTTAAATAGATTTTATATTAAGAAATCAAAATAAAATATATTAAAAATTGCTAAAAAAGAGAAATAAGGGTGCGAACATCAAGATGAAGTCATCACCTCGACAAACCCAAATTGGGTGGGAATAGAGTTTCGTTTGGTGATTCTTACGTAAGTGATTATAGATGATTTAATTGATCAAATTAAGATCTATAAAAGTAGGAAGAATCGTAATTGAATGACGAGTAGTTTGGAAAATTTAAATCACATAAATTATCTCTAAATTAAGAAAAAATTAAGTTGAAAATAAGAAAAATAGAGTTTTGGCATCGTGGCAGCAATGCATTGACGATGCATTGAATCTTGAGCTTTCAAGAGGATTATTATATAGTGTCCATGGCTACGAAGGCTCTCCTTGGACAAGGACGAAGTGAATAATTTCTAGATCTTCTTGCAAAGTCTAGAGATCAATGAAATAAGTTATCAAATCGTTTTCAACGGTTGTCACCTAGTAGAGTGGAAAAATAGTAACTTTGTGGCTCTCCAACGATTGTCACCCGATAGAGGAGAGCTGGATGGTGGTGGGACACATGTTAAAGAGCTTCATCATTAGGTCCGCACAACAAGAGGAGACTTTTTATCGTATTTGGTATACTCTCAAGAGGTGGTGACTCATCTCTTGGCAGATCATTCTCTTCCTAACAATGACTTGTTCATCGATCAATCAGAGATGATTTACTCAATAGATTCATGATCTTTTTATTGTGAATCGATCAACAATTTTAGTAACAAAACTCTATAAATCACATTGACGAGATTTTTGCCGATGATCAAATGATTATAGTAGTTTATTCTTCACTAGTGATCTGCAAGAAAGTCACGATTTAATCAGATAAAAATACAAGTTTTGGCTTTGGTAGGATTTGAACTTATGCCAGTTGTCCGCCTACATGAGAGAGTGAAATAAGTACTCGAATACCCTTATATAGTGATGTCATCATGGTATCTCATTGTTACAAATAGAGGGTATTTTTAGTATTAAAATCTTCAAAATATTCTAGGGAAGGTGTGATCGTTGGTTTAGTCCCACATTGATTATACACCGAATGTTAAGACGCATATATGGTAATGTGAGATTTGGAAATCAATAATCCCTTTCTCACATGTGTACGACCACTCTTTGCTCAATGCCCAACTAACCACTAGTGACGTGGAAGGGGAGTGACGCACACATGCCCCCATTGGTCCATAACTACTCAAGCCCCTACTCACGGCTTTACCCTGACTGCACTTTTAGTCCATTTGTGGGCCGGGCTGGTTGGCAGGTCCCCCCTTTTTTCTATTTTTTTTATATTTTATTTTTCTTTATTTATCTCAAAAATATGATTATAAATTTATATAAATTCACATAAAATCAAATAATTAGTCAAAAAATCACATTAACCAACTAAAAATCACTTTTCATAATTTAACATAAATATAAATCTATTTATCATGAGTTAAGGCTAAAATTATATTATTTATTAATTATTAACTCATGATAATAAAGACTTACCAATCAATACAGAATGAATCTAATGACTTACTCAAGAAAGATGAGATGCTCTAAGAGTGAATCACGATATGTGACTCAAGGAATATAATTATAAATTAGTAGTTACATCTATGCAATAATATCTTATATATAGATACTAATTAGTGAATAAAAAATATAATTATACATATATTATTCACTCATTTTGACATTTATAATATTTTATTATTTAAGTCCTAATGTATATTATTTTATTTATTTTATTGATATTATGAGACTAACCTCACTTGACTTTTATGTAGTCAAGTAGTGATTATTTCATATTTTCTTAATAATTATTTGATTGCAAGAACTTATATGAGTTCTTATTATGAGTTGGAGTAATAGAAAAAGCCCAAGTCTTATAGAGAGGGCCGGCCTAATATATTTATGGGCCCAAAAGAGGACATTATCTTGGTTAGGCCCATTTGGACCTTAAGTGGCACATGATCTTAGCTTAGTCTATTTGAACTTAAAAAGACTATCAAGAGATGAGATATAGGCCGCCCATCTTAGAGATCTTAAGAAGAGACTAAGAAGAAGATTAGAGCGCTGCCCTTATGGAAGAATTTGGACTGTCCACCAAGAGAGTTAGTTATTAATCATAATCTTCTATTGGAGGGGCCTAACTCTCTAGAGGTTTAAGGCCTCACGGCCCCCTCTTGGAGGGCACTTTTTGGCTCTCTTTTTAGTAGTGGCTAGCGGAAGAAAAAAAGAGAGAAATCAAGACCCAATCAATAACATTCTTGTGCTCAAGATCGTCGTGGAGAAGAGACTACCTAGAACGCATCAAGATTATCATGGATCAAACACCACTTGGCCTAGGGTTGGCGTGTAACGAGGTCTATGCAAGATCTAAATATAGGACATCTTTTCAAACTAGTTTTATCATTTATTCTATCATTCAATTGCGTTAGATTTATTCTATCACTTTTGTCATACTTTTTATTTATCTTGTCTTCACTTTTTTAGATTTAATTCCACCCTTCATGATGTCAAGTATATCTATATATATATATAAGAAATAAAATAAATAAAATTTTTACTCTCATTACCCATGCTCTCTAAGAATTGACCCTTATTTATCTTAAACTTAAGAGTGAGGTTTTATAAATATTATTTGCATGAACTTGATTGCATCATGACGACATATTTAACTTCTAAATTGAGTTCATCATAGATAAGAAGTGGTTAGTCTCTTAGTATCCTTTTTTAATTTAGTCCATCATAAAATTAGAATAAGACTTAGTCTCTATACATATTTATATTTATGCTCATATTTATGAGAGATATTGTAATCTCAAATACTTAAACAACAATGAAGCATTTTAAGTGAGATTTACTCAATGTTAGTCTCATAATATAAAATTTATATATATTATTATCTGCATTGAGATTAATACTAACAATCTCTCACTTAGAAAAAAATATATATGATAACTTGGTATTATATATTATGACCTTATACCTTCAAACTTTTACTATCATTGTCAAAGACATCTTCAACATTCTCATCCATCATTATACCAATATAGAACTAAAAGAGATTTCGTTCACATTTTTTTACATGATTGAACTAAATAATAATTATGTATATTGATATAATGAATGACATAAATCAAGTATTGATGTGTAGCATAGAATTTACATAAAATATGACTCATACATGTATATTTCTAATTTTACCCTCCTTATTCTGAATGGAGATCAAATAACCACATTAGTAAGTGGTTATAACCATATAAGTAATATGCTTGTGAAATACCTTTGGTGGTAATACCTTAGTTAGTGGATCTGTTATCATAGAGTTTGTCCTAGTATACTCTATAGACATCTAACTACTCTAAACTCTTTCTTTAACAATTAAGAACATGATGTCTATATGTTTAAACTTCATCAACCTCTTAGTCAAATTTCATGATTTGATGTCTTATAGCATGCTATAAACTTTGCTGCCATAGTAGAAGAAGATATGAGTGTCATAGTACTCTTTCATGATATAACTCCTCCAACTAGCAAATAGATATAACACGTAGTAGATTGTCTGCTATTAGTTCATCTAATGAAATCAAAATCTGAATACTTGATGATCTCCAAATGATCTGATTTTCTACATGTGAGCATATAATTCTGTCTTTTATAAATACCACATAACTCATTTTGTTACTTTCTAATGATCCACACCAAGATTTCTATATGTATGCTCAAGTATGTACATAATATTTAGATGAGTACATATTTGAGCATACATAAGGATCATCGATTTTCTCTAATAATTGAGGATAAGGATCAAGTAGAATATTCTCACCCAAGGTATTCATTGTCCGAACATATTTATTTTGTGGGTTTTTTCTTAAATTTGTCTAGCTAGACTCTCCTTATTGAGATCCTATTATTGGACAATTTCTTGAATTTTCTATGGGCTGACTAGGTGGTTGTCCTTCTTCTCTCTTATTCTCAAAAGCCTCTATAAATTGTTTCTATTGCAACATGATTCGGTTCATTCTTTGCTACATCATTTGGTTCATTTGCTACATCATATCTATAAAATCAAGTTAGATTTGAGAGGGCTGATTTTTCTGAAACTTGTGTTCCTATTTTAGAAGAAAGTCAAAATTTGAATTAGGTCTAAGTGCTTCTAGATTTTAAATATTATTTAGTTCTCTTCACGAAAAATTATTCTCCTAATTAAGATTATAAGAATTAGAAAAAAAAACTCCCTATTTTTAATAAAATCATGGGGTACTTGCACTTGATCTTGTTTAGACTAAAATGATTGATTTAAATTATAATACTGAAATTCAGAATGATCATTTTCATCATCCATAGGACATGTATCATATGCATTAAATTGAAGGTTAAGAAGATTTCTAATATTGTCAATAAGAAAATCAAGTTTTTCTAATATTTGATTAATCTGATCAACCTCATTTCTTAAATTAGAATCATCATCATGATAGAATTCATAAATTTCTTTCTTCTTCTTCTTATTATATAACTCAAAAGAGGTTTTGTTTCTAGAATTTTTACTTAAATTCTCATAAAGGTTGTAAATCTCATTAGAAATTTTCTCCATTAAAGTTTCTCCACATATAGAATCCACTATATTTCTATGTTGTTCTAATAATCTATCATAAAAAATTCTATTGAGTTGTCACTTGGGTATGACATGATGAAGATAGTTTAAAAGTAAATTTTTGAATTTTTCTCATGTCTCATGAAAAATTTATTTTGGCCTTTGAGCAAAACTCTATATATATTTTCTCATATTTTGAGTTTTTTTAAGGAATAAAATTTTCAAAGAAAGGCTTGTTCTATGTCTTTTCAATTAATTAATTCTCTATCTAATGTGAATGGCTAATAATTAGCCTTTGTCCTTGAGTGTATGAGGAAATAATTTTATTTCAATAATTTTCAGTGTAACTTAAGAAAGATTAACTAAATCACAGATCATATGAAATTTTTCTAAATGCTGATGAGGCTCCTCTAAAGGTAATCTATGAAAATTAGGGAGTATTTGGAAAATTTGTAGATTTATTTTGAATTTAATTGTGGGTGCTAATGGGACTCTAATATCGTATATTTGTTGATATGAGTTAGAGATATAATAATTTTTTATGGCCATAGAATTATTTTCAATTTGACCTGTACTATTTTCAAGGTCTATCAAAATTAATTTTTCTTTTATATTTTAAGTTTTGGATGAAATGATGAAAGGATTTTCTAACCTTGGATGTCAAGATCTTCTACCATGCATAAAAATCAATAAATTCAAGGAAAAAGTTAATAATTGTTACCTTCCTTCAGTCTGCTCTAGTCCTTGCCTTGTTGCTCTTCATTCTCTTTTTTTTTAATTTTTCTACAAGAAGAAATTAAAAAAAAAAGTTAATTTTTTTGTGTACTCTAAAATAAAAACAAAAAAATACCAAATATTATGTAATACATCTCCGACCACAATGCCAAAATTTGACATGACTTAGTCGTTGGATAATAAATTACATAAATTTAAATTTATAAAACTAAAAAATATCAATTTTTAGATATTTAAAAGTATTTCTAAAGAAATAAATAAATTATAATTCAATAAAAGTTCTAAAAATAGTAGAATTTTTTTAGATCAATTACAAGGATGTAATATAATATCGAATAATATTTCAAAAATTTTCTCAATGAATATGATTCTTTAATAAATTTTAGACTAATAAATAAAATAGAAATATATTTAATTTTTTTGAAAAAGAGAAATAAAGGTGCAGACATCACTATGACGTCAGCACCCCAACAAATGTGAGTCAAGTAGAAATAGAGTTTTACTGAGTGATTTCTTATATAAATGATTACAAATGATTTAATTAATCAAATTAAATTTTATAAAAGCTAGAATAATTATAATTGAATGAAGAATAATTTAGAAAGTTGACATCGCACAAATTATTATTAAATGAAGCAAAAATTAAGTTGAAAGTAAGAAAGACAAAGTTTTGACCTTGTGACAATGATTGCTAGAATTCTGTGTTCGAAAGGGTCATCGAATGATGTCCACGGCCTCAAAGACTCTCCTTGAATAGAGATGACTTAGGCATTCATTAGATCTTCTTTCAAAGTCCAAAAAATGATAGTAAAAATTAAACTAGTTAAAAAAAATAATAAAATAGAGTTTTGACGTCACGACGACGATGCATCAAAATCCTAAACATTTAGGAAGATTGTCGTGTATAGTGCTAATGAAATCACAAGATTTAATGAAGAATCTTTCACTCATAAAAATCAACTCAAGTCAATGTAAAATGGTCAATGAGAGGCTCGACCTTTGAGGTCAACACTTCCAAGAAGAAGTATCAGAATCAAGGTTCTTCCACCTCAATGAGTTCATCTACAAGTCAACCGGCACCTTCCTCCTCTATTGGATCCATAATGGAATATTGGATCCAGGACCAATGGGTCCCTACCAGCAAGCAAGAGGATTCATCCACAAAGGATGACCCAAGAAGAAGAAGAAGAATGGGGAGAGGATGCCATGTCATCCTCACGTCCCTCCTCTCCTTAAAGGGTTGGTCGTTTTCAACCAAGAGGCACCACATGGCACCTCTTGGGAAAGGGTGTCTCCGTCACCCCTTCTCTCTCGTTCTCCCTCCATTATGTGGAAAACCACCAATCTTCCTTTCCCCTCTATAAATGCTAAGGCTCTGTTGTATTTAAGATAGTGATTTGAGAGAATTAATCAAGGTTTAACTTACCTTCTTGGATTAGAGGGTCGTCTTCTTCCCCATCTCGCCTCTTGGACTGGGGCTTCCTCATCTCTTGTCATCGCCTCTTGGATTAGGGGCTTTCCCTCTTTTTCTCGTCCTCTTGGATTAGGGGGACCTCCTTCTCTTCCTCTTCACGTCGTCCTCGCTACCCCATCGCCGCCACTGCCTTTATCACCAGCCACCCTGTCGCCGTCGACCCGCCTCCTCGCCGTCCGCCCCATTGCCGTCGTCCTGCCTCCTTGCTGTCCGCCCCATTACCGTCGTCCCGCCTCCTTGCCGTCCGCCCCATTGCCGTCTTCCCCCCTCCTCACCGTCTGCTCCGTCGCCGTCGTCTCGCCTCCTCGCCATCCGCCCGTCGCCGCCACTTCGGCTCCTTGCCGTCCACCTCGACACCGCCACTCCATTTCTCTCTCCCGCCGTCGCCACGTACCCCTCATTTTCTCTCTCCCTCTTCCTCTCCCGCCGTCGCCACCGTACCCCTCATCTTCTCTCTCTCCCTCTCACCCGCCGTCGCAACGTGCCCCTCATTCCTTTCTCTCTTTTCCGCCGACGCCCTCTTATTCCGCCCCTTTCCTCTCTCCTCCCTTTTATTTATTCTCATTATTAATTTATTCTCTTATTCTTCCTATTTTTCATTTAAACCTTTTTTTTTCCTCCTTTAATTTTTTTTTATTCAAATATTTGGTGGACCTCAGCTACCTAACCCAGACCTCCCATTTTCTTGAATCATCACCCAATAGAAAGTCTTCAACAAGGCTTGTGGATCTCAAGCCACTAAGATCAAGGAAATCACTCCAAAATCTCCTTTGGCAAGATATGTTGATTTCAACTCCCTTTGTGAAGTGATCATTATTTTTAAATTCTTGCTCTTTATAAGAATTGAGTGAACCATATGCTAGCCCTCTTTGTGCCTTTTATCAGTGATCCTAACACCCTAGTTAGAACTTTATTTGAATCCTTGAAAGTATAATTCTTCTCAGTAATTACTATCCTAATTCTTCTAACATCAGGAAGATTAACTTAATCATAATCCTCCCTAACTTAACCAAGGGCAATCTTAATTCTTAACTTTCTATTCGATATTAAAATTTCTCTTTGGTTCCGCACCAAGTGTTTACAGTCTCGAAGGCTCTCTTTAAACAAGGACAATGTAGACAATTTTTAGATCTTCTTGTAAAGTCTAGAGATCAATAAAATGGGTCGTCAAATCATCTCCAATGGTTGTCACTCAGTGAAGTAGAAAAATGACGACTTTGTGGCTCTCTAATTGTTGTCACCCAATAGAGATAAATTTGATAGAGGTGGGGCTCGTGCTAGAGAGCTTCATCCTCAGGTTCACCTAGTAAGAGGAAGCTCTTCATCGCATTCAGTACATTCTTAGGAGGTGGTGACTCATCTCCTAATAAATCGTCTTCTTTCTGACAATGACTTGTTTATCGATTAATTAGAGATGATTTACTTGATAGATTCATGATCTTTTTATCATGAATCATTTAACAATTTTAGTAATGATGTTCTGCAAATCACATTGACGAGATTTTTGTCGATGGTTGAGAGATTCTGACAACTTAATCACTAACCAATGATCTGTAGGCAAATCATGATTTAATCAAATAAAAAAATGAGTTTTGACTTTAGTAGGATTCAAACTCTCTTCGATCGTCGACCTACATGCAAGAGTAAAATAAACATGTAAATATCCTTATAAAGTGACATCATCAAACTACCTTCTTCTAATAAACAAGGGGTATTTGAGGTACAAAAATCATAAAATAATTCTAGAGAATGTGTGACTTAGGTTTAGTCCTACATCGATTATATACTGAATTT